GCCCGTTGTAAGAGCTTTTTAAAAGATCTTTTTGAAGGTTCCAAACTCATTAGGTTCCCTGGGCCTGGCAGCTATGCTTCCTTATTCTAAGTCTACCTGAAGACTGGAAATAATTTTTTTCATCTTCCTCCCATAGAGATATATTTGAGAGGTTTTTCCTCTCAAGCGGCACATTTTCTCCTGGCTGCTAGAGAAGCCTGGAATGAAAAGTGTACAGATGCTTCTAGGGTCTATTTTAAGCTCCCACCTAGTGGCTTCTTGGTTTCTGTAAACTTTACAAGTGAATGGTGGTGGGTGTGTGGATGGGAAGCAATTTGATCTACTGCTATAAATACATACTACCAGAATGTTAACTTTAGGTACCATAATTCATCACCTTAGGGTGCTCACTGGCAGTAGAACGAGACCAGAAGGGTTGAGCTTCATTGTGCCCAGGCTGTGTGGTGGTTTCCTGGGCCTTCGGATCCAACACTCAGTTTGCTGGAATTGAGCACTTTACATGGCAAGTCAGCCAAGTATATGGCAGGGTCCCTGCCCCTTCTACCTGAAACTGCCCCATCTACAGCCCTGCTCAGGGAGGCTGATCCAGGCAGGTCTCTGAACTTAGAGGAAACTGATTGGTCCCAGAATGGACACCTGACCTAAGGGCAGCTGACCCGTGACTAACAGGGTGGTGTGGTGACATGAACTCTGACCGATAGAGTGACAGTCATTAAATCTAGGAAACTTGTTTCCTCTAGGATTGGGAAAGAATTGGCAAATGGCATGGGGTAAAGGAGATTATGTGGAGAGATGGAGAGCCCAGCTTCTGGTCCTGACAGTTTTTCATTCCCAGTTTTTGTTCATTCACTCCTTTACTCAATCAATACTTACTAAATACCCACTACAAATCAGGCCCATGGTGGGTCCCTCTCTCTCTCTCTTTTTAAGATCTATATTCTTTTATGTATTTATTTTTGAGAGAGAGAGAGCAAGCAAGCATGTGAGCTGGGGGAAAGGGGCACAGGGAGAGCGATAGAGAGTCTCAAGCAGACTCCCTGCTGAGCAGGGAGCCCAATGCAGGGCTCGATCTCAGATCTCAGGACCCTGAGATCATGACCTGAGCCAAAATCAAGAGTCAGACGCTTAACCAACTGAGCCACCCACTCAAGTGCCCCCCTGGGGCCCTCTTGAAATGCAATGTAATCTGCTCTCCTGGTGCTTGTCTGGAGAAGAGAGACAGTAGGATAATCATGGATAAATAAATAATCTTTAAGCTTTGGTGAAATATGAAGAAAAAATATAGATAGGAAGCTATGAGAGATGAACAGAGACATTTGACCTAGTCTGGGAGGGCTTCCCTAGAGAGGGGAAGTTTGAGCTGAGACATGAAGACCAGTGGGAGTTATTTAGTTAAAGGGTGAATTTAGGGGAGAAACGTGTTCCAGGCAGAGGAACTAGCATGTGTAAAGGTCCTGAGGCAGGAGGGAACATGGCGTGTGTAGTGGCTGTCAGAAAGCCAGTGTGTCAAGAGCAAATAGACACAATTTGCATCTATCCACAACCTTTTTCCTTAATGTGGTCTGAGGAGACTCTTCCTTGCAAACAAAAGCCCAATGGACAAAAGCATCTAGTATATATCCCAGGTGCTCAGAGGGGTAGATTAGTGAAATGACTTCATCTTTGCTCTACAATTTACTAGCTGTGTGACCTTGGGCAAGCTACTTAATCTCTCTGAGGCTCAGCTTGTGCATTTGGAAATGGATATAGTAAAAAATGTACGGAGTGGTGGTGAGCATTAGATTTGACGATGCCTGGGTGCCCGCCTAGGTTGGTTTGTGGTACATGGTAGGTAGGTGCTTCCTACACACTTTTGGTATTAGCCAAATGACTGAGAGAAGACTAGGGCTCAATAAGAACTCACTTCTTTTTTGTACTCCAGTGAGAGTGGAGGTGGGGCCAAGACTAAATACAGCGTTCAGAACAAGTTAGTAAACAATACAAGAGAAATAAGGGATGCACCAAGGCGGAGCTCAGTTATTAGCACAGGTAAACACAGCAATGTGTACAGGCTGCCATGTCCAGGGAGCTGGGGCATGAAGTATGCTGGGACCAGATGGGAGAGGATGAAGCTGGAGCCTAGAAGAGGGGAGCTGGGGAAGGGGATTGTGTGGGGCTTCAAAGGCCAGCTCCAGTCTGGGACAGAAAGTCCAGTGACAGTCATTAGTGCTTATGGACTCCCTGAGGGTAGGAGCACTTGGCTCTCGTTCCCCCAGGTTCTAGCAGGTGCTCAGCATTGAGTGGATGGAGCAGTGATGGGTATCTAGGCATGGAGTCACATCCCTCTCATCTGGTGTGTAGAGATCAGGAGGGGCTGTATTGTGGCTTTGAGCAATCTGTCCATCTGTTCCAGGGTTCTGCCCATTAAATGTTACCAGCAGCAGAATACAGGGCTGAAGTGGAGGGCAGTGCCAGAGATTGAGAGACAAGGAATGAGGCTTGGGGTCTGGACAGGGTTTATCCCAGAAAGAATACAGACCTTGGCAGAGTTACTGAGAAGGCAAAGGAAGCCAGTCCCGTGGATGAATCCTTCAGACTGAGATGGAGAGTTGCAACACTGAGGAGAAACAGGCTTCTTTCCACGTTTTTATACACCACCTCATTCCATAAATGCATCGTGGTATGTCTAATCTTTACCACCCAAGGGTGGGTTTGTTTTTTTTGTAAGTCACTGTGGAAATGGAAATAAAAGAAAATGGGGAAATTTTAATGGAAACAAAATAACATGCCATAAAGTCATTGCAGACAATTATATAATTGTCACAAGGTAGGCGAAAACTTTCTTTCTGGGCTGCCTCGTGGCCTGAGCAAGGAGGGAAACAGGGCAGGCGCGAGCTTTATGGTGTGCAGAAGATAAACCACCAGCGATTCAGAGAGATAGAGCCTCTGAGGGTATTGAGACCGGGGCAGCATTTTTCCTGGATCCTCACAGGAAGGAGACCCACGGGAGCACAGGGCTTCCGCCAGTGTGCTGGTGTGTGACTGCTCATACACTTCCTGCCCCCGTTGGGCCCAGCTCGGGAGCGAGGGTGGACCTGAAGGGGCTCACCCACAGCCACAGCTGGGACACAGAATAGGGGAGAACTACTATCTCTGTTCTCCCAGCACTGGGGCTAGAGACCAACAGAGGTGGTTCTTCACAAACTGGGGATGAAGGAGCCAGACACCACCACCTTGAACTCCCCACCTGGCACTGGAAGCCAGTGAGAAGTTGGTCTTGACACAAATGGTGGTGTAATTAATAAGATTATTAAGGGAGTGAGAGTCAAAAGCCATCCCCAGCTGTGGGGCTTCACTTGGCTTACCCTCCAGTGACTCACTGGCTTATGAGCAATCCTCATATGCCTGATTTAGAGGACTTACTCACCCTTCAGAGAAAGACTTTAATGCAATAAAGCGAATGTCAGCAAGTGGGACGCAGCTTAGCACATCACCCCAGCCTGCACCCAGTTTCCCACCCCGTCTCTCCCTGCTCCAGGCCCCTCCAGCCACTCAGCACCTGGAGAGGCTTCCGGGTCACATTCCAAGAGGCTCAGGGATTTGAAGCCCCGGAAGGAACTCAGGCATCAACATGACCAAACCCTGGAGAATTTTGGTCCAGCGAGGTTATTAGATTAGCTCCAAAGTGCTAGAGTTAGGGGCAAGGTGAGGGCTAGAAGCCAGGACTTCCCTCTTCCCTGTCTGACGTTCTTCACTCCACTTTCCGTGAAAGCCCTGCTTGGCTTATGCAGATGAGGGGCATGAGGTGAAGGAAATGCAGCCTCTCTGGCGTGGGTGGCATTCTTCCCTGAGGACTTGCCAAGGAATCTGTGGAGGGAGAGGGGCGAAAAGGAAAGGCTTGCAGAGAACAAGGCCTCAAGCCAAGCCTTTGAGGTGAGATGTTTAGAAAGAGCTGAGCTACCCTGGGCTAGGCCGCCATCTTGCTATTTGTGGACATAGTGCCTGAGCGGGGGAACAGGCCATCTCTCTGGGCCCCCCAGAACCGAGGGGTATGTTTGGAACTCCCACATCAGGTCCTGATTAGGAAACAGGCCCCAAGAGTTAGGCTGAGGCAGAGGCCTCGCCACGTGTGGGGAGAAGTCAATATTGTTCTTTCCTTCCTCCACCAACATAGGAAACAACTCAGTGGACAAGTCGATCCAGCTTGGGATTTAAACCCACTCATTGGGGCGCCTGGGTGGCTCAGATGGTTAAGCCTCTGCCTTCGGCTCAGGTCATGATTCCAGGGTCCTGGGATCGAGCCCCACGTCGGGCTCCTGGCTCAGCAGGGAGCCTGCTTCTCCCTCTCCCTCCGTCTCCCCCGACTGCTCATGCTCTCTCTCTATCTCTGTCTCAAATGAATAAATAAAATCTTAAAAAAAAATAAAATAAACCCACTCATTGACTGAGGGAATTACCTGGCAGAATTAGTCCCAAGGGTGAAAAAGAACCGGGGCAGGCACTTACGGTGAACTGTCACCTAGTTCACTTCTGTCCCTTGGGCATTTTTCCAACCTTTTCTAAGTGTGTCTGCCATGTGCCAGGCACTAAAAGGAGGCTGACCACAAGCTTGGCATTCAGGTTTGCTGCGATCAAGGGTCTTGAGCTTTAAGGGACCTTGGGGATCCTCTAGCTCATTTCACTGATGAAGCATCTGAGACTCAAGAAGAACAATTTGCCTGGGCTCATGGGAGTCGAGAGCCCTGAGTGGGTGGATGCTCTGACCACCTCTCTGTGTGGCCGGCACCTGACGACTCCTCTTGCAAGTGAGCTTAGGGAAGCCTCTCAGTTGGAAAGCAATATTCTGCATTGTTAAGGTCACTGGCCGTGAGCAGATGCAGACTCAGTCTACAGTGGTACAACCCCCGTCACCCTAGTGCTCGTCTGGATCCAGTGAAATATGCTGTGTCCCCACCTAAATGTACTCCTGCCTTATTACCCCAACTCACCAACACGAAGCATTGCTTTTTTTTCTTTTCATCTTTTTATTTTGCACTATAAAAAACAACATCAACAACAACAACAACACCCAGTAACATACTGCTTTTCTTCACATTCATATGGATTTTAGGAAATTATTGCCTTTTCCCCCGGAGAGAACCTACAGACAAAAAAGAAGTACCACATTACAAAATCTGCAAACCCCAGAAGTCCACAGCTTGAAGACAACCCCCAGGGGCAGGGAAGATAACGTGTGTCACGAGAGACGAGACAAGCACACATTAAGGACAGTAAGCTGGGGAGACGACCGTGTCAATGCCACTGACCCAGACGCGGCGGGTCCCTCTTTCTCTTGGCACCCGCTCCCACCCCCTGAAAGGGGTGATTTTTGGTCGAAGGTCTGAAGAACTCCTTTCAAACGACACAAGAGATGCTTTGAGGAGAGGGGTGACGAGGAAGGTTCAAGTATGAGTAAGAAATCATGCGAAGTCCGAAGTCAGGGAAGAACCCACAGTGGAAAGGACACCCAGAGAGGTCGACGTCTTGCTACTTCAACCATCCGCCTCCACCTGGACCCAAGAGGGAGTCTCGGAAACATGGGAGGGTTCAAATCAGCATCTAGATGGCGTCCCTCCAAGCCCTGGACAGGTTGCTTTCCTGACTGGGTGGTGATCAGCTTATGCCCTGAAGCAACAGACAGATACGGAGACTGCCAAAGTTAAAAAAGTAAGGTGGAATTGTGCTTCCTTCAAAATGAATTGGCTTCGTCACTGCCTTTTCTCCTGGTCTAGCAACTGCTCTCTCCCACGTTGCTGTGGGTATTTATTGCCTTGCACTGGAAATGAAAAGGCGAGCTCGGAGGTGCTGGGCCCGGGCGGTCCTGAGAGGGCAGGGGGTCTGGAAGTACAGTAGTCGGCACGCGCTGTGCTCTCATCATGGCTTGGCCTTCCTTCGGTCCCCAAAACCTATCCCCGCTGTCAGCATCAAGTACGTTTGCAAGCCTGGTGACCGCTCATTGTCCCGCCGGGGCAGCAGGACAGAGTGAGGTTTTCAGTATTGCACAGGTATGAAATGTCCACGAGTTTCAAAAAAGCAGAATCACAGTTGTTCTTGGGGCTGGGCTGGTTCCCCGATCCCGGTTTTAGCAGGATGTGGCTGTGGCCATGGGGCTCCTGCCGAGCTCTGAGACTGTCGAGTGGGTGGGCACGGGGGCCAGCACCGAGGTAGGGAAGGTGCAGTAGGAACCCTGCAGGTCAGGGCTCAGTGTCTGCAAATGGGCTATGAATGACGAGCTTGCTGCCTCCCCTTGGCAGGAGGGAGCCTGGGGCGTGGAAGGCAGGATCTCAGACTCATACTGCAGGAGCTGGCCCATGAAGCCAAAGTTGGGCGACACCACACTCCTCCGCTGCTTGATGTAATCGAAGGCATCCTTCAGGCGGAACTGCTTGGCTTTCATGAGGTAAGCCATGCAGATGGTGGGCGAACGGGAGATCCCAGCCTCACAGTGGACCAGGACCTTGCCTCCCTTTTCCCTGACACAATCTGGAAGGAAGAAAAGACAGTGAGGACGAGTTGGGACTGGAACCCAAAGGCAATGATGCCAAGATACAAGGATTCAACACAAAAGTAACCTAGTCATCAAAATGTCACATCTGTCCAAGAGCTGAGGTTCCCAGTCTTTAATTTAATACCCACTGGCAAGGACAGAGCTCATGGGGTCCCCCCAATGTCTATCCCCATGTAGGGCCTTTCTAATCTTCAGACGTGCTTCCCTGTTTTCCAGGATACTTGCACAGATTCTGCCCCTGAAGGTGCTAGATCTGGGGTAATACTCCCTTTCCTGGAGATGCCATCCTAACTTGGGTTCCACGGATGGGTTTCAAGAGGACATTGCAAAATCCCTGACATTGCATGCAAATTTATTGGGTAGGTACATTTTTCTGAGAGCGCCCCAGGGTCAAAGACTGACTCAGAAAAGCAATTCCTGCCTTTTGGGATCTGATTCTAATGGGGAGGACCTAGGCCCTCTCCTGCTAGAGGCCTGCCAGCCTCCCTGGGTACCCTGTCTGGCTGTGCCAGGGCGGGATGCTTGGCTCAGCTCCCAGGGTTCCCACCACCAAACATACGATAAATAGTGCACAGCCACTAATTATAGCCTGGCTAAGTGACGCTTACTAGACTGGAAGATATAAATGGCTTTCGCAAACTCCATCTTGCACAACAATGGGACTCACTGCTATAAAGCTACCACCAACAGTTAGCATTCTTTTTTTTTTTTTTTTTTTAAAGATTTTATTTATTTATTTGACACACAGAGAGAAAGCACAAGTAGGCAGAGAGGCAGGCAGAGAGAGAGGCAGAAGCAGGCTCTCCACTGAGCAGGGAGCCCGATGCGGGACTTGATCCCGGGACTCCAGGATCATGACCTGAGCCGAAGGCAGTCGCTTAACCAACTGAGCCACCCAGGCGCCCCATCAGTTAGCATTCTTTAGCTCAATATGACAAGGTCTCCCTCCTTTTCTGTTCCACTCCTCCCCCCAAAAGAACTACAACAGCTAAAAAGGAGGGGCAAAAAGTTACACATATATATATACACACACATTAAAAACCACAATTAAAAACCACAAAAAACAGTCTTTCCAATTCCCTCTCTTGCTAGTGAGGAAACAATTACAACATTACAACACAGGAAGTCTGAGGTACCTGGTACAATGTAAAGCCACAGTTGTGCAAAAACACTTAAAGTTTTGAAGGGCAAATAAAGTCAGCTCCCTTACCCAGCTCCCTCCTCAAGTTCAAGAAGTTTACAAATGAATCTGTAAGATCTAAAAGATCAAGTTTCTGAAGAGTCAAGGAGGAACCCCGGAGTTTCCTCAACAGAACAAAAGTCCCAAAGGATACAGCGTAGCTCATTAGAGGTACCCCCAATTTAGTCTGACTCAAAAGAAAAAAAGTTCCTGTAAATTAGTTCAAAGGGGACCCCAACCCTTAGGATTGCACGGTCATGACTCCGATCTTCCTTTGCTCCTTGTAGACTAGCTTTTAATTGCCCAGTGCCACGTCCAAGAAAGCAAAGGGCCTAGAGTATGCTGTTTTTGCTCTGCCCCTCAGGGCTTGTCTACCACGTGCCCTCCCAGACCCTCCCCTGGGAAGGGGTCAAGTGCATGGTATGGGCTCAGTGCCCCCCTTTCACCAGCAGGGCAAGGAGTCTGGGGAAAAGCATCATGTGCTCTCAAAAGGCTGTGGGTTTGTGTGGTTGCGTACACAATACACAGGATGGAGAGGGAGGCTTCTGAGAAATGGATGGGGGCGGGTTTCATGACCTCACTGAGTAGCTATCCAGGTAATTAAATAACAGGCAGAGAAGGGCAAGGCATTCCCAGGGTCAGGGAGACAATGTCAAGGGGTTCCCATTCTGAACCCATCATTTGGGCTGCCTCTCAGAGATCCAAAGTAATCCTGTCAGCCCAGAGGCTCAGAGGACCAGGACAGGCTCAGCCTTCTGCCTCTGGAGACTTTCCCAGTGGGTTTCCTATAGAGGAGAAACCACGTGTGATGAGCACAGGGCCCACCACGTGGCTGAAGGGGGTCCCCTTAATTGCTACCTGCCCTGAACAGTTATTGCTGTGCCCAACACCTGCCTTTCCCCCTCCAAAAGCCCTCAAAACAAGATAAGGAAAGTCACACCTCAGCTTCAACACCTACGTGTGTTACAGGGGAAGAAGGCAAGGCCACAAGGTTGGGGAGTCATGCCTGCAAACCTGAAACAGCCACCGAGGCAGAGAGGGGGGAAAGAGAGGCTGTCACACGAGGGAACAATCCAGCCTATGCTCAAGCGGTGGAAACCCAAGGCCCAGAGCCCTTTCCAGGCAGAGAGGCCAGAGGTTTCCAGGCCTGTCCAGGGGACTAAATGATAACTGCCCAACACAACGCATGAAAGATGCCAACTTCGCTATGCACAGAGCATGGAGCTTGATCAAATGCTATCTCTAATCCAAAATTAGCTGAAAATGCAAAACAAATTGCCCCTAAAGCAGTCTGCCAAAGACTGTGAAAAGCTGCCAGGGCCCTCGGGGCTCGGTGTGTAAGTAGTGCTCTCTCAATCCTTCTGTTGGCTTTCTAAAAATGCCCCAACCTACGTAGGAGCACAGTGAGGATCGTTCTTTCCCTCCCTTGCTTCCCTGGCGTGGAGCATTACGCACGGACACACTCTGCTTGCCACCCAGCTAGGAAAAATAATAAGAGCGGCAGTGAGTATTGCCATAAAATTATATTAATTCATTTATCTTGCAAATTAAAACTCCTATTAATAGCAACTCAAATCCTGCCCTCTGCCTCTTTGGTGGCTGCAGCCCTTCCTGGCTCCAACTCCTGGTGGTCGCACAGACGAGACATTTTTCTTCTTGGCAAAGGCTAGCAGCCTCCATCGATACCTCAGAACCGAGAACAGGTACCCCTACTGGGCTCCCCGAATGACTGAGGACGAGTGACTGAACCTACCGATGAAGTCTATTGCTTCTTGAAAGTGGGAGCTAATGTCGGCTGTGTGGCTGTCTTCCACGGGGATCCATTTGTAGTGTAGGTGGGTGGTGCAGGACTCGGAAATCCGTCGGGAGACATTCAGCAGGGCCGTGATGTGCAGGTTGGCGAGGAACTCGCACTTGGATGCATGGTAGGCACTTCCAAGGTAGAGGAACGGAAGGATTTCAACTGGGCCGCCCTGGAGGGAGGGGAAAAGGACAGCCGGGAAGTATCGGATTAGCTTGCTCCTTTAGGAGACGAAGCAAAACAACCCCGACCTACTTGTTGTAAGGTGGGAGGTTCCCTTTCTGGTTTCCAGGTAGAGAGTTCAGAGCCAGGGTAGTTCAGCCCAGAGTGTGGGGAGAGCCTGGCAAACGCTCTACCCGACGTGGCTGCCTTGTGACTCAGTGACAGCCAAGCCCACGCAGCAAAGATGTTTCATTTTCTTACACATATCGAGGTAGGGAACGCTAGCAGCCTTCCTATGCCGACAAGGATGAGAAGATGTGCGTGAAGGGGAAGAATGGAGAGGCTTATGCTCACATTCCAGCTGCCCCAGCAGCACCAGGGCAAGCCTTCTAACCTTGGGGCAGCCCTGGCTTCCTTCGAGATGGAACAGGTAAAAACTCAAGACGAGTGCCCCCACCTTACAGTCCTGATATTTTCATGGCGTATTTCATCAAACCTAGGAACCCGATGATTGATCCTAAGACACATGTGGGTTTCAGAGATGTTAAAGTGTGCCCCCCAGAAAGGTTGCTTCTGGGAAGTGGAAATGACCACTGTTTACCTGGAATCCCTAAAGAAAACCTATTAAGCCAAGGAGAGAGGGGTTCCTCCTCCCACTGATCTTTGTCACGTGGGACTGAGGGTTTGTGAGAGATGCTTACATCATTACCCTTTCGGAAGGCCACCCACACACCAGGTTTCCAGTTAAGGAGGATCCCAATTAGAAGCTGAGACCATCTACCCTGAGGCAAAGTTAAAAACAGCTAGCTGGTCAGACTCTGGCAGCCTTAGCAGCTCCAGGGTGGCAAGAAAAACCAGAGATAACTGGGACAATGGGAGGCCCCAGAGACTGAGAGAGAAACACTGGGCTTGGGGGGCGGCGGTGGCAATGGCTAAGTCTCTGGGAGCCTTTCTCGTATCATCCTTCCGTTTCCTGTGTTCCCATTTCCTGTCCCAGAATAAAAGCGGAACAGAAACTCTGCTGGACTCATAATAGGGAAAGGGGTGTAGGATGAGGGCTAGCAGAAGGCAACGCTCAAATTACCTGGCATGTGGTGTGTGCTTTCTCTTTCCTGAGAAATCAAGTGTTCAAGCAAAGGCCAGTTTGGCCACTTAGAAGAAAGTCATAGAGGATTTTACCAAAGACAGGAAGAGTAACAACCAGTTTTTTTTGTTGTTGTTTTTTTTTAAGTAGGCTCCACGCTCAGTGAGGGGCTCAAAATCACGACCCTGAGATCAAGATCTGAACTGAGATCAAGAGTTGGGTGCTTAACCGACTGAGCCCCCCAGGTGCCCCAACAACCAGTATTTTTATTAGCACCTACTAGAGCTGGCCCTTGGACTTAACACTTTCGATGTACCTACATAGATCTCTCCCTCTCTTTAGTGCCTGGAATCTTACCCAATTACTTCTAAAGCCTAGAACAACACACCCCTGAAACCATGGGTCTTTCTTTTTCTGAATCCTCTGTTTAGACTCAAGAGGAAGAAACCGAAGGACTTCAGAAACCCCAAAGGTTAACACAACCTTGCTTGGCTTCTCTCAATGCAGAGCGCGTCTAAGAAATAGCACTAGGGGGTTCCCCGATGAACCTTGGGAGACACGTCAGGGCCTCCCCAGTCCTCTCTTGGCCAAAGGTCTGCTGTGCCTTTGCAACATCCTGACAATTCTCGTTTCTCTTTCACTTTCTGAGAAATGAGGGGAAAACACCACCCAAACAAACAGAAAATAGAAATCCAGCTAAACCACATGCCCCTGGCTTGAATGCTGAGGGTTCATCATACGCTGTGTTTTTTAATAAAGGAAAACAAACAAAATAATAACCCTGGCACCCTGCCAAGCTAATAGATTTCCTGACCAGGGATCCCATTCCAGGGAAGTCACTTGGCTTTACTGGGAAGTTTATTCCCAGGGGCAGAGTTCTGCTCATGCCAGGCAGCATCCAGACGTCTTCCTTCTTATGATCTGGACATGTTAAGTACATGTTGTGGGAAACACTTGAAAAGCTCCTCCCACCAAGTCAGGTGCCTAGGATGGGCCCCTTCCAAAAGAGGTTCTGTTTCTGTGGAAAACAGAACGAGGCCTTGAAAAGAACCAGAGTTAAGAGAAGGGAGGCGTTCTGGGCCTACTGTTGCCAGCCCAGCTACAGGATTCTTTGCAAAGAGATCATCTCCAGTTGTGAGACACGTTTTTTCCCCTCTGTAAAATGGGAAGGTGGGCTTTGAGCTCTGGTTTCTGCCAGCTTTGGGTCCTTGCCCGCCTTTCCCTCATCCTCCAGCACTAAAGGGGACCCCTGACTGAGCCTTTCACACACTTTCAGGCTTTAAAGAGTTGCCAGAAAGTAACATTCCTGGAAGGGGGAAAAAAAAACCCCACATATTTGTAGGAGCATGAAATCCTCTACAGTGTCTCTTGATCTTCTCTGGTTTCAGAATTTATGGAATTGTAAGCAGCAGAAACCCTTAGAGCCTGCTTAGCCATCCAAAGGGTAGTTTCCCCACAACCCTCCCCCAGTCCCGTTTCCGTTAAAAATAACAAAAAGACACATCTCCACAGGTACTAGGTTGGTTTGCAGAAACTGCAGAGCATGAACAATTACAAAGAAGATTAACACAGGAAGCCTGAAAGTCAGCTCTGAAACATCTTCAGGGAAACCTAAACTGATATTCTGAAGCTTCTCTGCACTTCCTAGGCCAACTAATAATAATGTATCTTTCACTTCCCCTTTTCTCCAGAAACTGTCAAGCGTCCTGTGGCTCCTTTGGTCTTGTCAGCTTGTTTGCTGGAAAGAAGCCCATTTACTCTTGGATGGAAACTCAAGTTGGCAAGCAACAGCTCTCTGAAGCTAGAGGGCTCTGCCAACACCCTGATCCACAGAAGAACGCACCAGTGCTACTGAGTGGGGAGAGGGAGAGCCAGGGGGCCGAGGAAGGAACGGAGTCCGCAGCCAAGACAGCATTTCCAAAACCACTTACCTGGTCATAGGCTGGCCTGTAGCTGAGGCTGAGCACTGGTTTCCCACACTGGCTCATGAGGGCTTTCTCGGTTTCAACCTTCTCTTGTGAAATGGGCTGTACGTCCACACAACACTCAGGATATTCTGAGTAAAAAGTCTCATATCCTCCTGCAAGGTTAAAAAAGGAAAAAAAAGGAAGATAGATGTTAAGCATTGATTTCTCAGGCTTTTAGAAAATGTCCAGAATTAATCAATACCCTAAGTGTGGAAGAGTCAATATTAAGCTAACATAGATTCTGGTCTTGTAAAAAAAATTGAGCCAAACCAACTAATAGCTTTGGAACAGAAATGGGCTACACACACACACAAACACACATTCCCTCTTTTCTAAAAAGTTATAGTTCAGAGAGGCAATGATTAATTTTTGCATCTATCAGAAGCAGCTGAAAGGAACTCTGACATCTGGCAATATTAACAAAATCCCTCCAGAAAACAAAAGCTATTTTCACTTACTTATCTAAAATGAAGGTGTGATTATGCAAAATTGCATTCACTTGCAAGAAGAGACTCCTGAATTGGTCTGATTCATGCCTAGCCCATTAGCTCTGAACTGGACTATAGATGCAATCCCCTCTATTCATAAGGGAATGGGGGCTAATATGAGGTTTAAACTCAGTGCAATAAAACAGCCCTGCCCTTTCTCACTCCCAAGGAGCTAAAGAACACTGCTGACAATCCTCTCTATAGGTCCAATTTTGAGTAATCAATCTAGTTAATTACCTTCCAAACCAAACTGGAGGCACGAGGCCTTTAGAACTTAATTCTCAGTCCCAATATGTAAAAACTGTTTCTCTCCCCTTCAAGACCACCTACCCTTCCTATCTTCCTTAGCTTCCCCTCCTGATCTTTCTTCCCTACGAGTCCTCAAATGATAACTACCAGCAGGTATGACTGTAAAAATCCTTAATATTACATTTAAACTTCTCCAGATGGGTCACTTAAGGTAAAAAATACTCTCTGACCAAGTCACAGAAACTTGGGCATATTAAAGAAGTCTCAGGCCCAGAACTCAATGGGAAAGAACCAAATGAAAAACATGCCAAGTGCTACCAGGTGAACAGGACAGTCTCACTTGGGGAAGCCCTCACTCCCAATCCAAAAGGACCCAAGGGACTTCCGAGAGCCTCCAGAAAACCTGCTATTTCTTTCTGACCCAGAGAATTCACCTAGGGTCAAATCATCAATTAAATACGCATTCCGAGCCCATGTATTTTCCACAAAGTCCCCTCTTTCTTCTGTCTCTTAGTGGTGTGATAGGCCCACAGTGGAGCCCACGGTGGCCTTAAACCCCTACAGTAGACAAATGGTTAATGGATAACATGGCGGTCTCCAGCTCCCTCCCAGAAGCTGCAGCCAATTCCTAGAATGAGTCATCTTGCCATTACTGCTTCCTCCCAGCTTGCTGGAATTGCCCCCGCCCCCATTGAGTACACTCAAATCTCCTCTGTGGTCACTTCAACAAAAAGCCCATTGGGCCCTCCCCAGATGAGCTTCTGGTCCTCCTGGTCATGATAGGAGACCACACGCCAGGGAGTAACGGAGGTGGGAGGTGGTGGTGTTTGTGGCTTAGTTTCCTCCTGCCCCCACCGTAGCCCCTGGACCCTTTCCCTCCTAGGATGTAGACAGAAGGTCACACTTAGGGACCCACAGCTTCACTGGAAGAGGGGACCCTAGTTAGTAAGTCACTTCCTGTGCCTGGGCCTCCAACGTTTTGGGTTCCAGGGCACAAACTGAGTGATACGGGATGGGAATATGGAGTCAAGAGTGGCCCAGGCCCTCCCAAACTTTCCCAAGAATGAGGCTTGGGAAAGACAAGCCTTCAGGCCACCCCAATTCTTGTCTTTAAATAGCACACTTAAAAGAGATGGCTGTCAGGACAGACAGGAGGTGCGGGTGTGGGCTGGGTCCTGCCTGCCTGTTGACAAAATAAGGCAGGCAGACAAAGCTGCTCAGTGTAGTTGAGGGACAGATAAACAAGGGGCTGTCTCTTCAAGCTGGGGTCAGGAGTCCTTCAGATTAGATGGTCTCTTTCACCCACTCCCTTCAGAGGCAGGGAGAGACAGACCGTTCTCTGGTGCCTCACTTGAGCTGCAAGAGCTGTGGGAATTCTTTTGGCTGCTTCAATCCTCTTCAGAGTGATTCTGCTTTTGATCACCGCTGCATGACCAAGGGAGCAGAGAAGCTGCATGGACACTGTATATAAATACACACTGACAATGCCATTAGGTCGTCATCCCATTTTAGTGTAATTTTGGGGGGGGGTGGAGGACGATAAAGGGAAGTATAAAAGTCATTATTGCCCCCAAGATCTGAAATGCTGCTAGATTAAAACCTGAATTCATCATATCTGGATATGAGGTAGATGAAGAAATAAAAATTTTCTTGGACAACAATTTAACATTCGTAGTGTTATAAAGTAGCACTAAAGATAAAAGATAAAAGATAAAATTCCTACTGAAATTTAAAATGCACACAACTATCAACCTGGCAATTCTCAGAATCTCACTGAAAGACAGTGCACACGTAAAGCATTTGAACAAAAAATATACCCAACAACATTGCCTCAAATAGCGAGGTTGAAAGCAACCTACTGGCTACCACCATGGGACTGGTTTAAGAAGTAAGGGGCACCTTACTCAGTAGGTTAAGCGTCTGCCTTTGGCTTGGGTCACGATCCCAGTGTCCTTGGATCAAGCCCTGGGCCCTGCACCGGGCTCCTGGCTCCCTGCTAAGGCGGCGAGTCTGCTTCTCCCTCCCCCTGTTCGCATGCGCCCTCTCTGTCCCTCTCCAATAAATATTAAAAATAAAAATAAGTAAAATGGACACGTATGCTCTGATAAGGATAAATCTCCCAAGATCTAGTTAAGTGAAAGAAGCAGGAACAGGAAATATACAAAACCATTCTATTTTTTAAAGATACTGGTGGAAGGGCGCCTGGGTGGCTCAGATGGTTAAGCGTCTGCCTCCGGCTCAGGTCATGATCCCAGAATCCTGGGATCGAGTCCCACATCGGGCTTCCTGCTCCTTGGGAGCCTGCTTCTCCCTCTACCTCTCTCTCTCTCTCTGTCTCTCATGAATAAATAAATAAAATCTTTAAAAAAAAAAAAAAAGATACTGGTGGAAAACTAACTTGTCTAAAGACGAACAAAAAATAGTTGGTGGCTGTCTCTGGAGAGT